ACAGCCGTCCTATGAGACGCTAACAAACAGCCGTCCTATGAGACGCTAACAAACAGCCGTCCTATGAGACGCTAACAAACAGCCGTCCTATGAGACGCTAACGTACAGCCGTCCTCTGAGACGCTAACATACAGCCGTCCTATAAGACGCTAACATACAGCCGTCCTATAAGACGCTAACAAACAGCCGTCCTCTGAGACGCTAACTTACAGCCGTCCTCTGAGACGCTAACATACAGCCGTCCAATGAGACGCCAACGCACAGCCGTCCTATGAGACGCCAACGCACAGCCGTCCTATGAGACGCCAACGCACAGCCGTCCTATGAGACGCCAACGCACAGCCGTCCTATGAGACGCCAACGCACAGCCATCCAATGAGACGCCAACGCACAGCCGTCCAATGAGACGCCAACGCACAGCCGTCCAATGAGACGCCAACGCACAGCCGTCCTATGAGACGCCAACGCACAGCCGTCCTATGAGACGCTAACATACAGCCGTCCTATGAGACGCTAACAAACAGCCGTCCTATGAGACGCTAACAAACAGCCGTCCAATGAGACGCTAACAAACAGCCGTCCAATGAGACGCTAACAAACAGCCGTCCAATGAGACGCTAACAAACAGCCGTCCAATGAGACGCTAACATACAGCCGTCCTCTGCAGATGGTAAGTTTCATAAAGTTAGTTTGTTCGTCAGGTTGAAGCATCATAAATCTTATTTTCAGTGACTGATCACTGAAAATAGCTGTTTAAGTTTTGTTAGTTTATCATCAGAAAACAGTTTGTTGGAAGCAGACCTATCAGATATGCTAACGTAGCTCATAACTTACATGTTTTATATTAAATCACTGAATTATATTAATATTCTGTCTCATCCCATTTTTTCATGATGTTGAAATCTTAACTTTTTAACTAACATTCAGCAAGATTTCAATCAGGATGCATTATTTTTAAAGTTATTCCTTAGTTTATTTAAGACTTGCAGCAGGGCAGGTTAACACTGGGGGGCAGGTTAACTGCCCCTCAGGCTGGGGGCAGGTTAACTGCCCCTCAGGCTGGGGAAGAGGCAGATATTTTGAGTTATTTGTATCTTAAGGCCCTGTCACTATAACTTTTACACAACTTTTGCAAATTTTAAAGACTTCTATGCTGAAGATTATATAAAAAATCAACTGAAGACTCTTTCAGGTCTGTACAGTACTCACTGTAACTCTGACAAATTAATCAAATTATAACTTTTATTATTAATTTAGACCAAACAAATTTCATAATTTGGCGTAAGTTGTCTAAGAATGTTATAGTGTGACAGGGCCTTCAGCTGTTTGTGTAACAGACTACATGCAGTTTAACAAGTTTCATATAATTTAATTTATTTTGTGTTTACATTAATGTTAAAAACATCTGAGTAAGCCGTTAAGTTTCAGGTTTAAATTCATGTTTCATGGATTATTGAAATTAGCTGTGAACTTATGTTAAAGTAGAGACACTGGATAACAGGTGACCTTCACAGGTATGATGAGCAGGTGAGATGTACAGGAGCTGCAACAGGAAGTGTGCCCACGATTGATGTTGTGACAAAAAATAATCGTTGACTAATTGGACAAATAATCTGAGATTAGTCGACCATCAAAGCAGTCATTAGTTACAGTCTTTGTTGTTGCTGATAAATGATTTAAACACCAGTACAGGCTTTAAATCACGACGCTTTTTATTTATTTATAGAAACAAGTGGACAAAATAAACCAGGTGTTTATCAAGGTTTCAGGTTGTTTTCAGTCTAAAAGTTCAGCAGCTTCCAGAAAAACATCAGGTTTTTATTCTTTTCTTTGATAAACTTGTTTTTATGATCATAAATAAAAAGATGAGATTTAATGTTTAAAACTTTAATACATACTGTTTGTTTCTGGTCCTCACAGGTGTGTGTGTGTGTGTGTGTGTGTGTGTGTGTGTGTGTGTGTGTGTGTGTTTGACTGTTAAATCAAAGGAACCGTTCCCAGCTGATCAGCTCCTGGCGCTCGACAGGAAGTGATTATTAAATGTTTTCAGATGCTACTGGGTGCTATTATTTTGAAAACTAGGGTGTCAGATGACTTCCTCCAGGTGTTACCTT